GGGGAAGGGAAGCAGTGTGGAACACTGACCTCTAAGAAGGACATGGCTGTTGCACTCTTGAATTTGTAGAAATGTGATTATCTACACAAGACCTGCAGCATTGAGCCTGTCCAGCATCCCATCATGCAAGCAGAAGGGCCCATGAGACACCCTTCCTTGAGGATTTATAGGCAGTTAATGGTTTATGAGGGACAGGAGACATTTTCTTCAGTGGTATAGCCCATGTTCCTGTAAACAACCTAATGACATTTACTGGGCCATAAATATATACATAATAAATAAAACATTTAAAAATGTCAGGGCCCTGGGTCCCATTCTACAATTCAGAATGAGTCACCTAGAAAAGAAAAAAGTTGAGATGTAGCAACCAAGTCAACTAAGTTAGCATCAAAGGATTCAGTGATCTCTTAAGCACACAGGAAACCAAGAAACAGAATGCCCTCACCACCCCGAAGACTCCCTCATGTTCCACCACCACCCACCTCACCCTCCTCCTGAGTTTTATGACCATCCATTGGCTCTGCCTGTGGAGAGCCACAGCCTCCGCCGCCATTACAAGATGGCGCCGGTATCCGGACCTTCTTAACAGTAAACATCCTGCTGCGCCCATAAGGGGCGTGCACAAGAGCCTGCTCTCCCTCGCCTCCTCCCGTGGCGTGATCTCCAGCAACCAATCCGCTTCTTATACGTCATAGATGGGACCTTTAGACTATATAAGCAACCGCTCTCCCGCTTCTCGGCGTCTTCGGTCTTTAAGCTTCTAAGAGTGTAAGATGCGCATACAATAAACTGCTGCAGAAGGATCCTGACTTGTCCTCCCGCGTCGTTCTTGCCGGCGAGACGGAAAGCGGTCGGGGACATCTGCCAGTCAGCAACTTCTACCCCTTTAAGTGGATTTAGGGAGTAGAGGTCAGGCAAGCAGTTGTTTCAGTTTGGTTTTGAATGGAGCCAATTCTTCATCTCCTAACAGTTCTTTGCCATTTTCTGGGCAAACATTTTCCATCTTTGCCTGTCAGTGAATAAGTGGGGGTGGCTACATGCCAATAAAACTTTTTTTACAAAAACAGATGGTGTACTGAACCCGTGTAGCACTGTGCTTTTCCTTTGTGAAATTCATGTTGAAGTCTCACCCCACATCTGAGTCCCTGTGCCCTGTGCATAGTTTAAGACCTCCAGTGAGGCTTACACACACTGCAGGTTGAGAACCTACTTTGTGCCCCTCCAGAAAGGAAGGGAGTGGGTGTTCACTCCAGAGCTTGGAACTGTGAAAATGGGTTACAAATCCAATATAAATACAGGAGACATGCACAAAAACCCTCGGGGTCCTCCCCACCTGGACAACACTAGTCATTTCATCTCTCCCTCTCCACACTGGCGTTGTTTTCTCTCCTCTTGGCCTTGAGGGTAGCAAGCTTCTCGATGGCTTCTAGAGGGGTAGAGTTGGATACCTAGTAGAAAATGCCACCTGTTGAAGCATGAGAAGGGATCACCTAAGGGATGCAGGGGGGTGGGGATATCAGGAGTCCTGAGGATCCCTGAAAAAATGCCCCTTAAGGCACAAGAGAGAGAAAGTAGTGGTTGGAGGGGAATTTCACTGTGGCTCTTAGGTGGTGGGACCAGCTTGAGTGACACTATGGGCTGAGAAAACAGCTATTCCCAATTACGGAGCAGTTTGTATTTCAAAATACTGCACACAATACCACCCCACCATTTCTTCAGGTCCTAGAAAGAGTACTAGTGATCTGCATCTCTGCTTTGTGCAGAGGAAGAATGGGGCCTTGTGTGTGTTTGTGTGTGTGTGCGTGTGCATGTATTCATGCACATGTGTGTGAGCAAATGTGTGCAGGTTTGCAAGCACATGTGCATGTGTGTGTAGAGGCCCGAGTTGTTGTCAGGTGTCTTCCTCCACTGCTTTCAGAGGCAGGGTCTCTCTTCTGAACCATGAGCTGCCCTATTTTGGCTGGTCTCTAGGCAGCAGGTCCCAGGAGTTGTCTCTATCTCTTGGGGGCTGGAATTACAAGTAGGCCACCACCCCACCCCCGTTTTTCATGGGTTCTGGGGGATATGAACTTCAGCCCTCATGCTTGCACAGCAAATGCTTTACCCCTTGAGCCATCTCCCCAGTCCTGTTTCAAAATATCTTGAACATGGTTTGCCGTGGAAGAACTTCCAGCCATTGAAAAAAGGATGAATCTATCTCTGAGTAAAGGTGCAAAATTACATTAATACAGCTAGCTGGAAAATTCCTAATAAAGTTCAAGGCTAAAAGAGTCTAATCTGGAATATTCTAGCAAGTCTTGAAGTTATGCATTGCCGGTGCCAGCCGGCCAAGACGGACAGTACCTGAAAGGGGGAGTGAGCATTGAAAGAAAAAAACAAGACAGAAAAGATACTTGGGAGGACTGTCAGTGGAGACTGCAGCCGGGTTTAGTTTAGCTCCGCCTTTTTATACAGTAGAACATCAGAGCTAGCCACCGTTTGCTTAGCTCAATTAGCTTCAACAGCTGTCTTTCCCACCTGTATCTGAGGGTCAAGGAGCAGTCAAGTACTTGTTTTGTGAGCTCCACCAAATAAACACATTCCTCCTGACTTGGCAGATTAGGTACTGGTGTGCAAAACACAAACTCAGTAAACAAGCCTGCCACAGCTTATGTACATAATGGATTAATAGCTCCTGACAATGCATGGCCATATCTAAACTGAAATGCTAGAGACAGTCACCCTCCAGGCCACAGTCTGGCCACCATGCCTGAAAGGCAGAAGAGAATGTTCTGGAAAATAGCTGGTCCTATGCAATGGACTCTTCCTGTCCCTTCAGAACACGAGGCATAAGTGATGCCAACACTATGGTTCCACTTCTGAGTCTCAGTGAAGGTCCCACTGTGATCAGACACACTTTTATTGGTGCATTTGCTCCCACTGCGTTCTTGGGAGACAGCAGACCTTCCCCTGCCCTAGCTTCTTCATCACCCCCTTTGTCCTGCCATTCTCTTAGCTTAAAAATTTTTTGATTCATTTTTATTTTATGTGTATGAGTGTTTTGCCTGCATGTATGTAAGAGCACAGAGGCCAGAAGAGGGGTATTGGATTCCCTGGAACTGGAATTAATGATTGGTTGTTAGCTGCCATGTGAGTGCTAGAAACTGAACCTGGATCCTCTGCAAGAGCAGCCAGTACTCTTAACTGCTGAGCTCTCTGTCTAGCCCCACTCCTGTTTTTTTGTTTTTGTTGCCATTGTTATTGAGGCAGGGTCTTCCTGTTGCCCCAGCTGGCCTGGAACTTGCTATGTAGACCAGGCTGGCCTTCCTTTTGGTCTTTTTGAGACAGGGTCTCCCTATATCCCCAGGTGTCCTGGAACTCACTGTGTAGACAAGGCTGCCCTTGAATTCAAAGAGATCTGCCTGCCTCTGCCTCTAGAGTGCTGGGATTAAAGATGTGCCCCACCACGACTGGCCCTCTCCTGCCATTTCAAAAAAGTAATTGTTTTTATAACTCATCCATAGGTGGTATGGGGACAGAACATAGGCTATTGAGGAAATATAGCCTGATGTTTTATTAAAAGAAAATTTGGGGGACTGGAGCGATGGCTCAGCAGTTAAGAGCACTTGCTTCTCTTGCAGAGGACCTGCGTTTGGTTCCAGTACCCACATAGCAGTGAACAACTGTTCATAACTCCAGTTTCAGGGACTCCAATGCCCTCTTCTGACCTCTACAGACATTTCATGACATGGGTGCACTTACATACTTGCAGGCAGTACACTCATACACATAAAATAAAAGTAGAATATTAAAAAAAAATTGAGACAAGGATTCATGTAGCCCAGGCTTGCCTCTAACTCCTTATGTTGAAGACCTTGAATTTGTAATCCTCTTGCTTCTACCTCCCAAGTGTGAGTATTCCAGGTGTGCACTACCATGCCTGGTGTATGGAGTGCTGGAATCAAACCCAGGCTAGGTGAGCACTCTGTCAACTGAGCCACATCCCCAGACCCCTACATGTTTTCATTGCCATGCATCATAGGGCTGACACTCTGGTTGTTACTCCATCCTACGTAAGTTGCTGCTCTCACTTGTGTGCTCTTTGGAAACTGGGCCATCATAGCAAGGCACCAAAAGCTACAGGTCTTGTCTGGGGTTACCCTTCACCATCCCATGCCTGTCCCCCATGAGCATTGCTATCTGCTACAGACATATTGGTGAGCCTTTTCACAGTCTGCCCCGTGCTCTGTCTCTGACATTAAAAAGCAACAGCAGCTGTGGGTTGAGGGCCTTCTGAGGCTCAGGCTCCTGGATGTAGGGCCAGGAACCATGTTCCCCTCAGGAAACGTCCACATCTAGGTTCCATCTCTGTTAAGCAGCTGGCATGAGCTGGACTGCATCACCATTTCCTCATTCCAGGTATATGCCTTTCCTGGTGACTCCAGATCTCTGCCCCGTGGGCTGCATGTGTGCTCCACCACTAGTGGAATAACCCAAACTACCTTTAGAGAACTTCATTTCAAATGTGACCTTGTTTCAACAGGGCACATGATATTTGGAGTCAAATTAGGGGAAAGTCCTGGGTTCTTTAAGGGACAGAAAACAATATTGCAGTAATGAGTTTCAGGGGCTGGGGATGTAGTACATTTGCCTAGCACACATGAGGTCTTGGGTTTGACCCCCAGCACCACATAAACCAGGCACAGTAGTCCACACCTGTATCTAGCACAGGGGAGGTGGAGGAAGGGAAATTAGAAGTTCAAGGTTATTGTTGATTAAAGTTTGAGATCAGTTTGGGACACAAGACTTTAGTAGACACACATACACACACACACACACACACATGCATACACACACACCCACACACATACACACAAGTTTCATGTCTAATATATGTCCTAAGGACTGCTGCATGAGCTTTGGCTTGAACTGCCTGGGAAAGAAAGTCCCATGGTGATGCTGAAGAGAGCTTAATGACCTTGCTCTTGGCTGAGTCAGGGCATCTCCTGGGTTCTCCCTAGGCACCCACTGGCCACCTTCTTCCACCTGTTTTTCCGAGTGAGTGCCATCGTCACCTACGTGAGCTGTGACTGGTTTAGCAGAAGCTTTGTGGGCTGCTTTGTCACTGTGCTTCTCCTCCTGTCCTTCGACTTCTGGTCTGTGAAGGTGAGGCCCCCCCTCTCTAGGGACATGTGGGCTTTGCTCCCAGATGATATCCTCTATGCATGTGGGGCCCGGGGGAGTTTTGGTTTGAACTGTTGCTATATTCTAAAGAATATGGAGGGGCTAGTGAGATGGCTCAGCAGGTAAAGGAGCTTGCTGCCAAGCTGATGACCTGAGTCCAGTCCCTGGAATTCATATGGTAGGAGAGAACTGACTCCCACAAGTTATTTTTATGTGTATGAGTGTTTTGCCTGAATGCATGTAAGTACACCTGTGTGTGAAATGCCTGTGAAAGCTAGAAGAGGGCATGGATCCCCTGGAACTGGAGTTATGGATGGCTGTTAGCCACCACGTGGTTGCTGGGAACTGAACCTGAGTCCTCTGCAAGAGTAGTCAATGTTTTTTTTTGTTTCCCTGTAGCTCCAACTGTCCTGGAACTTGCTATGTAGACCAGGCTGGCCTCAATCTCACTACTTGTAAACGAGGCTAGCCTTGATCTCACAGATATGCCTACCTCTGCTTCCTGAGTGCTGGATTAAAGGTGTGTGCCACCATACCTGGCTTCAGCCAGTGCTCTTAACCTCTGAGCTGTCTCTCCAGCTCCAAGTCTCACTTTTCAAAGTAAACTTACAGATTAGAAGCCTGGAAAATTCACTTGAGAAATGATTACAGTTCAACACTCATGTCTTTTTATTTTTTCATATTTGTGTGAGCCCGTGTGTAACTCCTGCCACAATGTACATGTGGTCAGAGGACAGCTTGCAGGAGTTAGTTCCCTACTTCCATCATGTGGTCCCCAGAGTGGAACTCAGGTCATCAGGCTTGGCAGGAGGTGCCTTTACCTGCTGAGCCATCTCGCCCAGTCTCTCAACGCCTATTTCTTCCTGCCTTCTGTAGTTTAAGATGAACTATTTTATTTTGTTCCTCAACACCCTTCCCTTCCTTTCTGTAGGAGTTTAAGAGGAAATACGACTTTTACTTATCAACATTAGTGACACACATCTGTAGCCAGCACTCAGGAGCCTGAGGCAAGAGGATGGAGTTTATTCCTAGACTACGAAGCAACAGTCCAGGGGGGCACTTTGCCCTGGTGTACTCACAGTCCCTTTGTCCACTTTCCTCAGAATGTAACTGGAAGACTCATGGTGGGTCTTCGATGGTGGAACCAGATAGATGAGGATGGGAAAAGCCACTGGATTTTTGAAGCCAGAAAGGTAAGCTCTCGTAACAAGACAAACTAACAAGACCTAGGGATGTGGCTGCATGAGTGGTTATGGGTTTTCTCAGAGTTTTGTATCTAACCTCTGCTCTACACAAAGTCTCTGTGAAATGCAGAGCAAAAGTGCATAAAACAAGTGAAAGCAAGTGTCACTGTTCGTGAAAACGTAACACTGTCCCCCAACAGGTCTCTCCAAACCACATGGCCACAGAGGCGGAAGCGCGCATCTTCTGGCTTGGCCTCATCATCTGCCCAGTGATCTGGATCATGTTCTTCTTCAGCACCTTGTTCTCCTTGAAGCTCAAGTGGCTGGTAAGTCTCACCTTACCCCTCCTGTTTTGTAACAGCTCCATAAATCAGGGGCTGTGGGAGCTGGCCTCTACCTCAGGGACAGTTGCAACAGCTTGATTCAGTCACACAGAGATACATTTTAAACCATTTGAAGGGTGCATTCAGTGACTCCTGGTATTTTTGTGGAGTTGTTATAGCCATCACCACACCAGTATTAGGATTTTAAAATTTTAGTGTTTTAATTATGTGTATATGCCTGTGTATGCAGATGCCTTTAAAGGCCAGAGAGGGCATCAGATAAAGGAGCTGGAGTTAAAGGTAGCTATGACCCACCTGACATGGGCACTAGGAACTGAATTCAGGTCCTCAGCAGGAGCAGTAAGTGCTCTTTAACTGCTGAGCCACTGCTCCAGCCCCAGTTTAGAAGTGTTTTCATCACCCCCAAACTCTGTACTTTGTAGGTATCACCCACCGTGTCCTCTTTCCCCAACCCCGGCACACACTAACTTCTCATTCTACATAGACTTACCTATTTTGAAGTGTCACATAAGCAGAATCATAAGTGGTCTTTGTAAGTGGCTTTTCACTGAGCATACCTTCAGGTCCATCCAAACTGTAGTGTGTTTAGTACACTATTCCTTTGCATGGTTAAATAATATTTCATTGTATGTTCGGTATGCCATGTTCTCTTTACCCACTCATTGGCTGATGGCCATTTAGTTGTTGATAGGCATTTGGTTATGAATAATGCTGACAAGGTATTATTTTCTTTCTATAGTGCTGAGGGAACCCAGGGCCTTGTGCATGTTAGGCAAGTGCTCTACCACTAAGCTATGTCTTTAGTCCCAAGGATGTTTTTATTAAAAAGTATGGCATCTGTTGTTAAAGAGAGCCTTTCCTGGGTAGGAATAATGCTGACAGTACTGGTTTAATACTGGAGGGATGGTATGTCACAGTCTATTCAACGAGGACATGGTAGAAGCAACACTGTCATTAAATGTGGGCTTTGAAGTTTGGCTCCACCAGCACTGTGACTTTGGGTGGCTTCCGCTTCCCTCCGCTGTCTTCTCCCTGTGAATGCAAATGGCTCTAGCCTCTCAGTTGCTAAGGTGTGCATGTGAGTTTTGGCCTGCAGGCCTGTGCCCCTTCCCGACTTGGCTGCATGCTCAGCGGGCTTTCCTTTGCTCTGCTCACTGCAGGCGCTTGTGATTGCTGGGATCTCACTTCAAGCTGCAAACCTCTATGGCTACATCCTGTGTAAGATGGGGGGCGAGGGGGACATCAGCAAGGTGGCCTCCAGCTTTCTGTCCCAGACGGTGTTCCAGACAGTGAGTGACAGAGACCCTCTCTTGATCCCCACTCCCACCCGCCCCCCAGGTGCACAGAGTGAAGGGCCCTCTTGGCAACTCTAACCGTCTCCCTATCATCTGGGAGTTTTCACTGCTGCTTTTTTTGTCTAACAGAATAAAAATCAACTGTGCTAATCATTTCAACACACAGTTCTGGAGGTGACACATGCTCATGATGCTGTGCAGCTGCCACAGTCTGCTCCAGATCCTTCTCACCTCTTCCAAGAAGAAATCTGTACTTTAGAGCTGGCTCACCACCCCTCACCAACAGTGGTACCCACTGCCCTGTCTCTAAGGAACTGACAGTGTCTACTGGTAGTCAGTCACCTTTTGTGACTGCCATTTAGTTTTAAGTGATTTTTTTTTAAACTATAGAATTGACCCTGAATATGGCTCAGCAAGTAAAAGCATTGAGTGTACAAGCCTGATAACCTAACTTCTACCCCAGAACCCATGTAGAAAGTCAGATGTGGTAGCATGCAGCTATAAACCCAGCACTCCTATGGTGAGGTATGGAGCCAGAATTAGCAGTTCACAGGCCAGCAAGCCTGGAGTATATAGCACAGCATCAGAAAAGAGACCCTGCCTTAAAAGACAAGGAGGAAGGAGAGAATGGACTCCCAAAAATGTCCTGACTCACACATACACTCTGGCATGCGTATCCCCCCAGAATTAAGGAACAAATCACAAAGCATTTTGTTTTGAAGTTGGCACATACAGGGAGGCATAGGTGAGTCTTCAGTCTGACAGGCTTGCTGTGCAGTGGTTTTTGAACAATGCTGCTCATGGTGACAGATCTCTTCCCTGTGAGCCTGTGGGGCAGAGCCATGATTCTTCCCTTGTGGGCCTCCCCAAGTGATTTTTCAGGAGTCTGGGCTTCTAGGGCTGGACATTCACAAGTGTTAGGAGAGAACTTGAGGGACATGCAGCTCCTGCCCCACCCCACTATGCCCTAGGTTTAGGCAGGTGACTTGAAGCAAGTCCCAGCTGGAACCATGCCCAGGACTCTGAGGGCCCATCCAGCTTCAGACAGGTTGCACCCTCCTCACACGGAACCCAGCACATCCGACCACAAGCACAAGTGTAAAGGGGAGGCGGGGGGAGAAAATGGGGGAATCAGAATGGGAGGGTCCTCCTTCCACTTTAATGCCATGGTGGTATGGAAATCTGGAGTGGCTCTTTCCTTGGCTGCTCTCAGTTTCCGTATCTCATCCTCCAATCATAAGGATGTATATCTCTTAAAAGCACCATGGAAATGCATGGGACCCTGAGAATTACTGGATATCTTGCACTCATTACTAAGCAGGGTGTCCCATACAGAGCACAGGCTCGTTCACCTCAGGGGGAACTTATAGGCTTTTCAAGGGGGTTTGATCCCCCAGTGGGGGGCTACTACCTGGGTCATTGTCCCTCCATGAGGGACAGCTGTGGTTTTTCATCAAAGCTACAATCCTGCCTTTGTCCCTTCCTAGGCTTACTTATCAACTGAGGCTGAAACAGCTCTAACAGGAGTCCTTTGAGGCAGTGAGTCCCCAGTCCTTGGATTCCAGGAAGCAGGCCTAGAGGGGCATATTCCAGGAGGCATTTTTATTTGACAAGGGCATGTGTGTACCTGTGGACAATGATTAAAGTGTCTCTGTGGAAGCAACTTCCAACCATGCTAGCGTCTGGTCCCTTTTTGCTTGGGGCCGTGCCTGTCCCCATGTGGCTGGACATGTTGCCTGTGGGCTCTGTAGCTGGGACTGGCGTGGTCCTTGGCGTTGTCCTACTCAGGAACTGATAAGGTTTGCATTCTGTGACTGATGGGAATTACAAAACTCTTGGATCCCTGGAAAACAAGACAGGAAGTGAGCTCTGACCGTCACCTCTGCTGGATTCTTCAGCTGTCTGCTGGCTAAAGTCTTGGCCCATGGTTTGCTTCAGCTCACTGTGGTTGGGATTTTAATCCATTTAATGGCCTTAATGACATCTATTTCCTGTGCTACAAACTTCACCTTCCTTGTGCTTCTCAAACTATGAATTAGTTCACAACACTGATACATGGGGGAGCTCTCTTGGCTTCCTGAGCTGAGAGGGCCACGCTGATCATCCAGTCCCCAGCAGCCCTGCTGTCCCCACCTTGCTCCTGTGGGTGACATCCTACCAGGAGGTGTGTCACGTAAATACTTACTTTGAATTATACTTTTGTAGGCTGCTGTGGCTGGTGAATCTGGGGCTTCAACAAAAAAAGACTGGCCTTTGTCACAGCTCTTACCTTAAAGAGACAGAGAAAAACATGAGACCCTTGAAGAAAGCCCAGTGCAAGGCCTCAGGACTCCTTTATGAACTGTCACAATACAACCATCTGGGGCTCCCTGCTCACAGAGAACAAAGCTGAGAAAGTGTAGTCCCCTGTGTCCCCTGGCTTCCACTGTGGCTGTCAGTCAGTCAGGTGGCATATGACAAAGATAGGTTCCAGACCCAAAGAACTGACCCAGCAGCTCTGGGTGGACCCAAGAGTCTGCATAAGAAGAGACCAACTTATCATCAGCCTGGGTAAGAAAGAATGTAGGGGAGGCGGTTAACCAGGTCTTTGAGTAAAGAGACAAAGAATTTAAAAATATGGAATCCAAAAGGAAAACTAGAAAGTCAGTCTAGATGCCTGGGGCATCTCCCCAGAAACACACACACACACGTGGAACACACATGGGCACACAGACTGGCTCAGCACAAGTCCTGCCTGCTGCTTTCTCCACGTATTTCATCTTCAAGGTCACCCACTCAAGGTGGACCAGTCAGCCAGTCCTTTCCAGCCCTATAGTCACACTCCAGCACCCTTCTGGCCAAATGTACTTCTTGAGGCCTGCATGTTAACCTAGGGCCACATGGCTCCTTGGAGGTGTGGGTGTGTACCTCTCTCAACACACCAATGGCCACCTCCCTGTGTGGCTGGCCACCAGGCACACACCAGGCCTGCTCAAACATCTCAGTCAGGCCCTGCTTGTCCCTTCTTCCCCACAGCAAGTTGACATAATGGATGAGCATGGGATGGAGACAGGTGTGCACCCCACCCCTCAGTGCAGAAGGCTACCCCACTAAGCAGATAAACAGGCTCCTAGCAAACCCAACAAAGTCTCCAACAGCAGGTCAATGACCATTGCTATGGACTGTAGTGGGCTGTCTCAGCACTGGAGATGGGAGAGGCTGTGGCCCGAGGGACAGCTGTCTGGAGATGTCCACTTCACACACTCACTTCCATAGCCCCTCTTCTTCCATACCCTCTCTTTGATGTCTTCTTTTTTGGGTGCCCCCTCCAAACTCCTCCTACTACCTCCCAGGCCTGGTTCTGCTCCATCCTCCAGGCGCAACCAGCCCCACATGGCAGTGGAATCCAAGGCACCTGCCTGTGATGTCACTGCCTTTCTCCTGCAGCTGCAAGCATGGGCAGCTCCTAGAGACCTCCGTGGTGTCCAGTCCAACACCCCTTTGTTGCTTTTTCATGTCAAGTCCACGTGTCAAGGTTAGCTAAGTGGGCAGTGTTCAGACTTACCTATGTGTGGATCCAGAGGCACTCTACCCAGGAGAGGGACCTTTAGGTCCTGGCACATGGCCTCTGCACCTCCCGTTGTGGGAGGGAAGATCTGAGATTCTTTCTGTGAGGAAGATGGGAGAGAAGCAAGCTTTGTTTTGCTTCAGTAGAAGGATACACTAGTTTTCAAACATTTTGAAACAGCTGCTCATTCTGGATGTAAAACACCAAAGCTTTTTCCCTCAGGCAGCAGTAAAGGGCTCGAATCAAAGACCCACTTCCCCACATGGCAGGGAAAGGACTGGTCCCCTAGAGAGCCCTCCCTGCCATTTCCCCACCAGCACAGGGGTGCCCTGTGGCCCTCTGCTCCTGTGTCCTCACCTTACACTTGGGGCAGACAAAGCTGCTCATGTTCTCCACCACACCAATGATGGGCAGCTTCACCTTACGGCAGAAGCTGATCTCTTTCCGGACATCCTGGAGGGACACCTCCTGGCAAAGTTCACACAGAGCGGTTATCCCAAAGTCAAAGGACAATGAATGATGCGTGTGGGCTCCCGGGAACGGCTATGACACAGTGGGCACACAATCAGGGTGTGGGGAAGCTGTGTTCCTTGTGTGCTTCCTGTGTGAAAACCCTGTTGGATTTCCCAAAAAGCCCCAGAAGATCAGCCTGACCAGTCCAACAGCATAGTCAGTAGGTGTAGGGAAAAGGGAGCTTAGAGCAAACCCACCTATCTTCTTGTGAGTATCCTATGCTGAGCCAAAGTGTGAACTATTGCTGTATCAGGGATCAGCAAACTCTGGCCTGTGGACCAAACCTGTGAAGAAAGCTTTGGAATGTGTCATGCTCATTCTTTTAGGCACAGTCTGATTTGCCTTTGGTCCCTAATGGCACTGTAGTGTTGTGGTGACAAAGAGTAAGGTCCACAAAGGTGGTAATATTTACTAGCTGGTTCTCTATAGTAAAAGCTTGCTAACCTCTAACTGAGGTTATAAACTCAACTTTAGGGGCAGAAGGAAACAAACCAAACTACAAGGAACACAGTCCTCTGTAGGTCAAATGCTGCTTAGCTTACAGTGTCATTCCACTATGCACAGGAGAACACAGGCCCCTTACCATTTTCCCAGTCAGCATTATTACAAGCACGCTCATTGAAGTCCTGGCCTGGCACACTGCTGCAAATTACAACACCCCCCAAGCTGTTGGGGCTTTGCCACAAGGGCTCCTGAGAGCCTCATAGCTTTGAAATAACTCTTGAGGTACAAGTGCAGCTCTTGGGTCCGGTTTTGAGAAAGAGAACTTTTAGCTAGAGTGAGCCAGTTGCTCCTAAGTCTCTTGCTCATTCCACCTCTAGTTTCCTGCCTAGTGTCCTGTGAATAAAACTCCACTGCTTTGTCAAAAGTACCTACTAAAGGCCACCCTTCTGGTGCTAAATGTGAGGAGCAGGAGAAATGCGTGGTCCCTGGCCCAAAGCGTCTTTTTCCAACATAGGGAGCTCCTATGGCTTCTGGAAAAGGGCCAGCACCTGCTTGGCCCACACCCTTTCTTCCAGCTGTCCTGAGAGTGGGCTCAATTGCCTTTCTGTTTATATTTGGTGTTACAGACAGAACCCTGAGCATACTAAGCATATGCTCTACCCTGGAATGTACCCAGGGCCCCAAGATAAACATTTTTCTTTTGCAGCAGTAGGGACTGAACCCAGGGCTTCATACATGCTAAGCAAGGGCTCTTCCCTTGAGCTAGGGTCCCAGTCAGCCAAGATCATGTTTTTAACAAGTGGTCCCTACAGATCCATGCTGAGGGTGGCTGTGGATATGTTCTGAAAAGCCACTACAAGACCAGGGTCTCAGAGCTGCAGAAGTCTCTTTATGAAGAGTACAGCTCAGTGCTTACTCCTGGTTCCCTAGGCACTCACTCACCTGAGGGGTGGTAAGGATCACTGCCCCATCAATGTGCGCTGCAGCCAGATACTGGACAACTGAGAGGTGTTCATCAGATGTGCCGGGTGGGGTGTCCACGATGAGGTAGTCAACATCCCCCCAGTCCACATCACGGAGGAACTGCTTGATCATGCCTGAAGGGAGTGAGGCTGCATCTGAATCTGAGCCCTTCCTCCATGGCGTCAGCCTCCAGAAGCAGCTTGAGCTCTGCCTGTCTGCCTACACACCACAGCACAGGCTCTCGACTGAGTGGCACTGTTCCCAGGGGCAGGCGGTTAGATCTGTAGATGTGTTCAGTGCTACTCTCACAATTAAAACTCTACCATTTGTGGCATGGCCCATGGCATCCCAATAACTCACATAGTCAGGGTGTCAGTGTGAGAAGGAGGATGCTCATTCTCAGCCTGTCTCCCCCACAACTGACCTAGTAAGGTGGTCTCTTCTTCACACCGCCCTCCTTGACACAAACCAGCCACATAAAAATCACGTCTCAAGGGCACAGAAACTCACAGTGAGTATTTATATATATCCCAAATTGCTTTCTTCGAAGAGGCAGGATGAAGGCTTTAACACACTATGCCACCGGCTGGGGTGTGGCTCTATGGCAGAGCACCTACCTAGCAAGCATGAGGTCCTAGGGTCCATCACCACCAGCAAAATAATGTGACCATGCTACAGAGTTCAGCAGATGACTACAGCTTCCCTGACAGTGTGAGTGAAACCAGGAATATGAATGACCAAGAGAGGCAATAGAGTGACAAACCGTTTTTCTTTGGTCCCCTCCAAATGACAGCATCATCAGGGCTGCTGAGCAAGAAACCCACGGACATCACCCCCAGGTTGTCCTCCACGTACTGCAGAGGGAACAGGGGAAGGTGAGGAACATTTGCACACGGGGAATGAGAGGAAGGCACATTTACATAAACAACCCAGTAGGCACTTTCTGTTGGTTCTTGGTAGATTTGGTATTTGGGGACAAAGGTACCACATGTACCATGCCTATGCTTGCACTCTGCGTCCTCAAACCATCTTTGATAAACAGGAGACCACAGTGAGATCAACAAGAAGTGGCCTACACACATCCCAGTGACAGTAAATGAACGTGAAATAAACAAGCCTCATTTCCTTGACCTTCTTAATCAGGGATTCAGCAGGCTACGACCCCTAAGGCTCTACAATCTGGTTTTGTCAATAAAGTTTTATTGGATTGCACTATGATCAGTCACATATTGCTTTTGAGCTATTAAAGCAGATAGTATAGGTCCATGAGCCAAAAATATCTACTTGTGCCCCTTTATGGACAAGGTTTGCCAACGCCTGGTCTTAATTTGCATGCCTGGAGAAAGTTATGTACCTGGAAAACAGCCTCAGTAAAGGCTTAGGAACAAAGATGTGGGGTGGGAAAGCCTCTTGCCAGCCCACCCCCACCAAGAGCCTATCAGGTGCACCTAAACTGCACACACTGCCTTCCAGTGAGGCGGGGGGCAGGGGAAACGGGGGATGACTCACCACTGGAGACCAGCCTGAGCCACTCTGGTGAACCTGCAGGAACACGACATTTATTCTTGAGTCACTGCACCCTGGTCACGCTGTCACTGACAAACCTTCCAAAGAGGATGGCTTCACACAGAACCTGCTATCCCACACAGCACCACTCAATTCTTCATGGAAGGTGAGGAATGAAGACCCCCACTTGAGCCAAACCCTCAAGTCTGCTTGAGTCGGGGAACCAAAATTCTCAAGTTCAGATCGAGCTGTTAAGTATTTTGAAAGAATGAGGAAAACTTGCAGGGGATTTCTGAGAAAATGTAGATCTCTGTGGGCAGTTAAGGTGGGTTTTTTTTTTTTCCTTTTTTAATATTCATGTGTGTGTGTGAGATGTGCATGCCTGTATGCACACATGTGTAGAGGCTTGGGGTTGATGTTGGGAATCATCCTCAATCCATTTTCCACCTTATTCGCTGAGGCAGGGTCTCTAAATCAAACCCAGAGCTCACTGATATAACTAGTCTGTAGTCTCACTAGCCAGCTTGCTCTTGGAGATCCCATCTCTGCGTTCTGAGGCTGGAATTTGGACCCCACATTTATGTGGGTTCTGGGGATCTGAGCTCTAACCCTTGTGCTTGAACCACTGAGCCAGAAGTTTTTGTAAAAGGACAGAGTAAGGAGACTACGTGGTGACTTTTGTTGCCAGCTGATTCAAAAGCTTCCACTGTCAGTGGCCTGAGCCTTGGCAGCAGCCTGCTATCTACAAGGGGTAAGGACCAGGGCCACTGGAAGCCTGCTGGGGCTATTTCAGGACTTAGACCTGTCAGTAGGTATTCATCAATGTCCAGGGCTGGACTTTGTTTATTACGAAACTAGAACTTAAGCAGCTCCCAATTACGTATCAGTCTTCTTTAGACAGGGCCTTGCTGGGCTGCCTCGGCTGGTTGGTCTCGGCCTTCTAGCTTCAAGTAATCCTCCTGCCTCAGTCTCCCAATTAGCTGGGACTATAGTAGGCACCACCAGGCCCGACAGACCTCCTATTTTCTAAAGCACTCATGTACTGTCAGTGAGTAGTTTACACACGTTGGGTGTGTGCTATATGAGGGGTCACTCACCAGTCAAGAGCTCCTGATGCTCAGATCCTGCTGTTTTGCTTCAACAGCAAGTGAGAACATGCTTGCATCCTTGCACCCAGACATGCAAATCCAAGGTCTTGGTAGAGCTGAGACTAGCCCCATTTGCCTAGGGCGACCCTCATGTTCACTGAGGCTGCAGACTCCTGCCCTTGTCCCTCAGCCCAGAATGTTCTTCTCCCCCTCCACACTGAAGCCACCCCTAGCTAAGGATGCCCTGGGCCACTTCTACCCCTGCTTTGGTCTCCTCACTAGCCTGAAGCTTATCTCCCTTGTTTCCTTGACAGGACCTGGAACTAAGGAAACAGTGTCCCCAGGGACACCTGAGCCCCTAGGCCCACTTCCAGATACCATAAGGGATCCTCCCAGGGACAACAGCAGTAACATACTGCAGTGGCCCTTCGTCCCTCCCCCACATCACTCACCAGGTCCTACAGTCAAGTCTCGGTTCCCCAGGGGAGACCACAGTGCAGAAAGATTCCCTTACTTCCAATGCAGAGCCGAGCAAACCCAGGCCTTGTTACTGCTCAGAGCTGATTTCCATCTCTCATTTCTGCTGCTTGCTGTTTCCCTCCTCCTCCATGGAGACATCAAGACCAATGCTTTTCACATGGTGTGGATGCACTTTCTATCTAATCCCACCCCCCAATCCACAACTGTGAGGAGTCAGAGAGAGGGGCTACTGCACATGTCTGAGTTCCCTGTGCCACATGCAAAGGCATAGCTTTGCTTGCCTGCATAGGTGCCTGGCAGCTTGCAAAAGAGAAATACCCAAGTTCCCAGACAGTCATTACCTGTTCTCCTTCCAAACCCATGATCTTGGGAATGGAGGGTCCACAGATATCAATGTCCAGAAGAGCGACCTGGGAAGAAGAGATGGGTGGTGGTGTCATTACCCATCCACTCCCCCCACTGCCCAGGCACAATGGGAAAGAATAGGTTAGAGGACAAGGACAGGGCAGGGAACAGGGGAACAGTGAAAGAGACGGGGTCAAGTTTGGAGCAGTGGCTTTCTCATAAGGAAGAGGTAACACAGTATCACATAACACTATCCTCCAAGCAAATGCCATCTTCCTGAGATCAGCTGAGCCCCTGTAAGAGTCTGTCAGAAGTGGACTGTGGACTGTTGACACTGCCAGCTCAGGAGAGGTTGGGAAGGATCACTGACCCTTACCTGACATTCCAACAGCTGCCCCCCCCCCGGCCATTTGTATTATGCCCTAAATGCACGTGGGCTTCTGGTCTAGGGATGGGGTAACAGTAAACAGGCTGAAGTGGTTCACTGAAGAGGCGTTCCATCTGGGTGGCTATGGGAGTCACCACCTGTGCTGGGTACAGACCTTCCAGTGTGGCTGCATTAGGGCCAACTCTCCTAACTAACCAGCCCTCATCCATGCTCTAAAGTAAGGGCCTAATCAACTCACTGTTTCCCTAGGATGAACATCAGTGGAACTGTGTTTTATTGGATCACTGGGACCTTACAAGGGAGATGTCATTTACACCTCCTCAGGAAAGGAATTCTCATGACACATGGACCTTCCAGGCCATGAGGCACAATTCAAAACTCCTAGAGCAACATTCATCAATACTGTTCCCAGTGTTGAGCCAGACCCACGCTCCTCTAGGGTGGTTTTATAACAGGGTGTCAGGTCACTTGGAGATTCAGTTCACTTAGCCCTAGAAGAGGAAACTGAAGCTCAGAGAGGCCCAGGGACTTGTTCAATGAGCACGGAACAGAGATGGGATGTAAATCAAAGTCTCCAGTGTCAGGCTCTTCCCACTACACCACGGGGCCTGGAAAGGTGATCTGGGTAAAACTTCGGGCCAAACTCTGATCAAGCCCCGTTTTCTTATAACCATAGGTTAATAATAAGTTTTCAAGAGCCTTAAAGGAGGGAGTGGAGAGATGGCTTAGAGGTTGTAGAGAACGTAAACACACATATCAGGTGGCTTACCACCACCTGTAATTCCAACTCCAGGGTACTCAATATACTCTTTGGGTCTCCTCAGCTGTATACATGTGGTATATACACACAGACACACACACAAACAAATAAAAATGAATCTTTAAAAATAAAAAAGGAATCTGGAAACTCTTTGCTGGGGACTTAGGTGCAGTCCCAGAAGACTTCCACCAAGCCCATCCCCACCCTTCCCCATTTGATAACTGAGGTCTGAAGGAGCCCTTGTGGGCCTTCACTGCCACTGTGAAGGGCAGTCATTCATCTTGAGAGCTGGCTGTCTGGGATCCAGAGAGCAGACTTCTGGGGAACTTTGGAACCTAAGCCATGCTCGCTTCTTGCTTCCTTCTTCAATTTTACTTCCTCTACAGATGGGCAGAACTGTGGTCAGGAAAACTTCATCCCTGAGATCCCCACTGGCCTTCTGTGTCCTCTGCTCATTGGCCCAAGACACAATCTGAGTATCACTAACCTCTGGGGGACAGGGCAGTGCTTCCTTCAGCTTGAGATCCATCCTGGGTCTGTGTGTTAATGGCCCAGACATGTCACATCCATGCCTCAGATGTGGGAAAGCATGGCACAGCTGCAATCCCAGTAGGTGAGAGACCATGCCATCCCTGCTGGGAACATCATTAGTTTCCTTTTGAGGAAAGATACTTCCCACAAGCAAGGAGAGAACTGAGCCAAATGACACCAGATTACTGCAGTCACCATATGGGGGTTCCAGGAAAGCTGTGGCAGGAGCCTGTGCTGAGATCCCTTGGGTGCTCCTTTTGGGTGTACTGTTGAATAAGTTACCACCCCAACCAACTGCGATCACTTCCTGTTCCTGCTAGGTCAGGACAGAGAGCCCTCGTTGAGAATAGGCCCTTACCAATCCTCTCCAGGACCTCTGTAGCCAGCAAGCTGACAACAGGAGGAGCCAGAAGTAGGCCTGCTGAGGGGCTGTGGAGCCCCCTTTAAGAGGAGAACACTTTTTCTTAATGGCCCTGGTCCTGACTCAAGGCCTACAAAGGCTGTCACTTCACACAATGGTTTTCCCTCAGTTTTGCCTGCCTGGGCTTCTGGCCTGTGAAATGAAAGCTTGGGGTTAAGGCACCTCCAGCTTTAAAGTCTACAAGCCCTGGGGAAAGGCATCACTTGCATTCCTGCTTACCTTTCATCTCTGGGTGCTCAAGGTCCCATTTGTGCTTTAGGGAAATGGACATGTGTGCAGTGAAAGCTGGTGTGGTACTCCTCCAGGCCCTGAGTCTCAGACTACAGAAGCTCACCCTGCCTTCACTGTGCACACCCTCCCTCATCTGCCTGCCCAGAGGACTTGGATCCACTTCTTCTTTCTTTACCCACGGCCTTTCCAAACACAGTCACAGAGCAACCTGGAGCAGACTGAGTCCTGGGCTTCCAACACACAGCAGAGGATAGATTGAAGGCTGGAGAGATCCTGCTACTGACCCAATCAGCAAGCCCCACTCAGCATTCTCCAAACTCCCACACTGCACGCTGCAGTCATTGTGGTGACACTGCTGTGAGGTCTGCCCAGAGAAGGCCTGCTGGCCAACATACTGCTTCTGTCATGTTTTCATGTTTAAGATAGTGTTTCACTGTCTAGCCCAAGTCGGACCTCTTGGCCATCCTCTTCTTCATACTCTTTAATAACCACAGCTGTATAAAGGGTCATGGAGACATTATAACCAAGGTCTGCAGTGTGCCACAAGGTTCTGACAAGTGTACAGATCATTAGTGGATGGAAGAATGCAAACATGGCTCCCTGTGACTAGCTGGGGCAGAGCCTATCTCTGCACAGCTGTCTAAGAATATTCTTAACGGGGCTGGAGAGATGGCTCAGTGGTTGAGAGCACTGGCTGCTCTTGCAGAGGACCCAGGTTCAGTTCCCAGCACCCACATGACAGCTAACAACTGTCTGTATCTCCACTTCTGGGGGAATCCAACACCCTCTTCTGACCTCTGGGCATTGCACAACATGGGTGCACATATACACATGCAGACAATACCCTCATACACATAAAATAAAAACAATAAATAATATATTTTTTAAATTTTCTAACAGCTTGAAAACCAAAGATTATTCTGGGTAATACAGTTGAGCACTTTTCCTTGAGTGCACTGCTGGGGATAGAACCAAGGGCCTTGCACACGCCAGGCCAGTACTCCGCTACTGGGCTCATCCCCTGCCCCTTCTGGATAATATGGACACTGTGAGAAAAGAGATTTCTTGACTAAACTAGGCAATGTGAATTTGAACCTTGAATGGCCAGAGTCTGCTCCCTAATAGAACAATGAATGAACAGGTCCCTCCTGGCCTGCTCTGTGCTGTGGTTTGGGTAGCTGCACAGGCCTCTACAAGGGAATCATCATCAGCACTTCATATTCCAGTCAGCAGCGTGTAGTGGTAACAGACCGCAGATGGGACACTTGAGGATACTGTGCGTCGGGTACTGTGCTGGCTCTTCACATGCGTCTTCTCACTCAGGCCTCTCCGTCCCACTTCACACATGAGAAAACCAAGGCAGGGAGAGCCTGGTAACCTGCTCGGGCCACTGCAGTGATGTGGATGGAGCTGGGATGTGAGCCTGGGCTATACCTGGCCACCAACCTCACCCTCATTAAAGCCAATACCCAGGAGTAGCACTGGGTGACCTGAGTTAGTCTGTTTTGGGACTAACAGTTAGGCTGTCTCACTATGCAGCCATGGCCAGCCTTGAATTCAAAATCCTCCTGCCTTAGCCTCTGAAGTACAAGGATCAAAGCACATGTACCTCAACCAGCTGGGTGATTTCAATTTGAAGTTCATCTGTACAACACTTGAGTAGAGATGAGTGATCTAGAGGAGATGCCAGGAAACATACTCTGCAAGGGTCCAACAGAAAACATTTTCTGCTTTATGGACAAAATGAAGGATAATGTGTTGGTACTTATATGACACTTAAAAAGAGATCATTTAAACATGCAAATACCATTCTTTGCTCACAAGAGAGGGCTGGAATTAGCCTTAGGAAAAATCAGAGAGGGGTGTGTGTGTGTGTGTGTGTGTGTGTGTGTGTGTGTAAGAAGTTGTACTGTGCTGTGAATGGAGGCATACACCTTTAATCCCAGCACTCAGAAGGCAGAGGCAGAAGCAGGTAGGCAGGTAGATCTCAGGCCAGCCTGGTCTACATATCAAGTTCATAGCAATCTGGGGCTACAGAGAGACCTTGTCTCAAAAAAAAAAGTATCAGCATTCAAAGATGGTATGCTACCATCAGCTCTGTTGCCTAGAGACCCCAGTAAAATGCCTCAGCCGATGGCTGAGCAGCAGGCAGCTCCTCATTCTCTCAAGACAGCCAGAAGGACCAGTTCTATGGAGTCTAAGGAATCACTCTCCAACACCATTAGAAGCCTCACACGGAAGGAGCACCTCCCAGTTTCCCCCAAGGTCCCACCTGTGTGTCTTCATCCTCTGCTAGGCCATGGGCGAGGTGGGCACTGAAAGTGCTTTTTCCAACGCCGCCTTTCCCGGACAGCACCAAGACTTTGTGCTTCACTGTCTTCATTTTCTCTTTGATTTCCTCTACAGCTGCAAAGAAAGTGGTTGAGGTGATGAGGTCCCTGCCTCAGTTCTGAGTGTCCCTCTTCCAAAGTGCGGTTTCAAAGGCTCTTGCATGAGCTACCATTTCAGCAAGACAGTAGTGAGTGCCAGGGATAAAATATGGATATCACACCTGAAACTGCCCTATATTTTATTTTTATATTTGTCTCATCCACTAGAACATAGGCTTCCAAGAGAATGGGGTATGTGAAGCCTTTACTGATGGACCCCAGCTCCTGAACAGAACCTTGCAGATAATAAAGCTTTACAACGTAGAGCAAAATCCTCAGGGGATAGCTGTCAACACCTGCAGGCATTCTTTTTGGTTGTGAGCCTGAGCCTTTAATGGCTGCACCCAAATGTCACTAGTGCTGAAGATGAGAAGCTCTGACAGATAAGCCTGCATGGTTAATTTTAACTGTCAACTTGACACAGCCTAGAATCACCTTTGAGGAGAGTCTCAATAGGGACTGCCCAGGTCAGGTTGGCCTGTGGGCATGTCTGTGGGGGACTGTAGTGATATGGGAAAACCCAACCTGAAAGTGGACAGCACCCTCCCCTAGTTTTGGGCCCCAGACTGTGTAATGGTAGAGAAAGATAGCTGAGCACCACGCATGTGTGCATTCATGGCTCCCTCGACTGTGGATGTGATGTGACCAGCTGTCTCAAGCTCCTGCTGCTGTGACTTCCCCACAGTGATGGACCTTAACATGGAATTGTATTTATCACAGCAACAGAAATACCTATCCCACATCACTCACTGTACTTCCAAGGTCTCCTTATTTCTTTATCTTTTATTTTATTATCTTTTATTTATTATTTTTATTTTATGTGTATGAGTGTATGTCTTGCATGTGTGTTGTACAATGCCTATGGAGGTCAGAAGAGGGTGCTGGATCCCCGGAACTGGAGTTACAGTCGGTTGTTAGCCGCCATGTGAGAGCTGGGAATTGTGCATATCCTCTGCAAGAGCAATTAGTGATCTTAACCGCTGAGCCATCTCTCCAGCCCCAGGTCTCCTTATTTCTAATCCATAAAGCCTACACTGAGAGATAACTATTTTTCTCTCCATTCTTGAAGAGAGCATGCAGCAAAGTTGAGGCTCTTGCTCAAGGTAACAGTTTGCAGGAGATCCAAAAATCAACTTCAGCTTCTGAATTCCCTCAAGATCCTTCTCCCAGATTCCTGCTTTCCAAGACCCTTCTAGGTAGGCCTCCAGTCCTCTTCACCCTGGAGTTTGCCCTTCACAGCACTTTTCCCTGAAGGGTTTAATTAGCATGCTTCTGTTTCTCTTTCCTGTTAAACTATGCTGTGACCACTCTGGTCTCATTTCTACCACCTTTCCACCATCACAGAGCAGTTAGATAACGAACGCTCAATTCTGCTGAGTGAATGGGAGACTTACTCCTCAAAGAGAGGAATGTTTCTGCTAGAGCCAGGACTTAGGCCTAGAGAGCTCCCAGACCTCAAAGTTTATCCCCTTTTCCCTCTGTGGCTGGCCTTCTGTAACTGAGGTCACTATCAAACACCTGGTTCTGCCTCATATCACTTTTTTCCCCCACATCCTGCTGTCCCAGTCCCCTGTTAGGTACTATTCATGTATTTATTTATTTTTGATTCTTGAGACAGGGTTTCATCTTGGACTCACTCACTTAAGGATGACTTTGAACAATTCTCTTTCCTCCACTTCCTAAATGCTGGGATTACAAGCATGTGCCAACCACGCCTGGCCTAATGTCCATTCATTCATTCTAGAGGGTCTCACTATGTAGCACCACTGGCCTGGAACTCACTACATAACCAGCTAGCCTTGAACTTGCAATGATCCTCCTGCCTCTGCCTTCCAAGTGCCGGGTTTACAAGCCTGTACAAATAACCCGGTTCTAAGGTCCCTTTTGAATCCGCGCCTGTCACAAATCATTCAGTCCTCCATTTCCACCTCTTTACGAGCCGCCTTTTAAAGGCACCGCCCCTCATTCCTCAAGTCCCGCCTTCTACGACCCGCCCCCTTAACACAGGTTACTGCACCGCCTACTAGAACTGTCATTCTTCAAGCCCCGCCCACACTCGACCCAAGCCCCGCCTCTTTCGGGCCTGCGCCTTCCACTTCCTGTTCAGGCCCGGCGGTTTCCTCACCCGGGTCTGGAACAGCTCCGGCTCCTGACGCGCACAGCCGCTGGTTGGGGCATCCCTGGCACGAGGTCCCTCGGCCCGCCTGTGCGCTGTCGGCCCCGGGGCAGCCTGTGTGGATACAAAGGCACGGTTAGAGCGGCTCGCGTCCCTTTGGCCCGCCACCCGTATTGTTTCCGTGCGCTCACCTTGAGGCACCTCCTCCATGCTGCCTCTCTTGCTGTGGACGCGCTCGCCGGAAGTTCAGGGGTGTATTTCCGCTTGGTGAGACTAATATGACTCCGGACTGTGGGAAATAAGTCTCGGCCAGAAGACTGCAAATGCAGACCCTGTTTCGGGAGGATGGAGCTCTGATTTGTGATCCCTGTAAAACTGAGCTAAGGATGTCTTAAAACTGAACTGAGCCGAAGTGTTCTGATATATCTTCATGTTAAAAAAAACACTGTTAGAATGGCTTGAGTTCCTAGGATCTTTGTAAGATTTCCATCCCCTAGAGTTAATTCTGCATGTACTAGTTCTAGAAATAAGTACGTAAGCAGAAACAACTTGATGGGAGAAATCCCATGGCTTGTTTTCCAAAGTAAAGTATGAAAACAAAACTCTTTAAAAAAGCCACTAAGCTGAGCTAAAGCTGTCTTAACACCGAGCTGACGGGTTAAAGGTGTTTGCCATGCATGCGCCTACGATCTCAGTTTGAGTCCCGGGACCCACATGGTGGAAGGACAGACGCTACTCTGGAAAATTGCTCCGAACACACATGCATGCTAATAATAAATTTATTTTAATTGTATCTGTTTTCAAAGAACAAAGGCTTTATTCTGCATAACCTCAATATTGATGCAATATCGTTAGTAAATATTGCAGACTATCAGTTTACTGAGTTCCAAATCTGCACTAATCCTAGATTACATCAACAATCATAGGTAGGGGCTGGGATGTAGTTCAGTTGTGGAGTGCTTGCCTAGAACATATTGTAGGTTCAGTTCCCCAGAACTGCAAAACAAAAAAACTTTCCCCCCCCCTTTCTTGGTTGGGGGTATAGCTCGGAGGTAGAGTGCCTGTCTAATTTAGTCCCAGCAAGGATATTGATCCACCTGCCTCCATCTTCAACTGCTGGCGTTATACATGTGCGCCACCATTCTTAGCTCCTGGACTTAAAAACAATGAAAAACACACACACACACACACACACACACACACACACACACACACACACACACACACTGTGTTATGTATGTAAGACTAACCATTTTTACTTCTCTCTTAGATATGTCCAATGAAGCCTTTTCAAGCCCACCCCTGTGTTGTTTGGACACCAACCCCAACCCCTGGGAGCTTTTCCTAGCTTTCTGCTTGTTGAGGCTCCTGCTGTCGTTGGTGTGGTTATTTCTGCTTCAGCGGAGCCATGTTCAGATACTGAGGTCTGCACCTGTGCTCTTATGGCCATAGGAGCATCACAGCTTGCAATGTTGGCACAGGTTTTAATGGGAACACAATTCTGCTGTGTCCCAGGCACTAAGGATATCGAAACTCGTTTTACCAGTGGCCTGTCTCTACCACTAGCCAGCATTTTATTGAACATAGATTCACCAGTGTATGTGTGTACTTTTATATGAATTTTCTAATGTGTGCTCTTTGGCAGTCCTATTTCCTGGGCCCTGTGACCTCCATTTTTGGATGAGGAAATGGAGGTTTAAGATAGTTAAACTAGGGACTGGAAAAATGGCTCAGCAGTTAAGAACACTGCTCTTGCACAGGACCTGGGTTCAATTCCCAGCACCCACCTGGTAGCCAACAACTGTCCGGAACTGCAGTTCCACGGGATCCAGCACCCTCTTCTGACCTTTGTAGGCATTGCATGACATGGGTACACCTAATAACATGCAGGCAATACACTCATACACATAAAATAAAAACAATAATTTTTAAAATATTTTTAATTTTTTTAGAAGAAGCATATCATTCCAGCTTTAACATGCCCAATAACAGTTTCCAGAGTAAAGACACAGCTCCTTCAAAAGTGGCTATAAAATTTCTTAAATAAAAAATGGGAAACATTACCATTGGAATCTACCCGATGACTTTATAGACACACACAGGTGCCAAGGATCCAATTGCAACCGATTATGACTAGTAATAATCAGATACAAACAGATTAGAGACACATGCACCAACATCTCAGCGTTAGTAGCAAAAAACATGAGTCTGTAAGAAACAGTATATTTTAGAATGAAATGGAGATCTTTTTTTGAGGGTTAAAAATAATTTTTTTTTTAAAAAAAAGACAAACTAGCCAGGTATGGTGACACACACCTTTAATTTCAGCACTTGGGAGGCAGAAGCAGTCATATCTCAGTGAGCTTGAGGCCAACCAGGTCTCCATAGTGAGATCTAATGTCTTAAAAAAGAAAGTTAAACTAGGAATGTAGCTGAGTGGCAGAGTAATTGTATATACAGCACATACAAGGCTCTGTGTTCAATCCCTAATACTGTGAAAACAAACACCTACTAAGGAGCCAGGTGTGGTATTGTATTCCTGTAATCCCAGCAATCGGGAGGCTGAGACAGGAGGATTGTGAATTTGAGATTAGTATGAACTGCATAGCCAGTCCCAGGTTAGCCAGGGTCATATTATAAACCTATCTCAAAACAAAACAAGGGGCTGGAGAGATGGTTCAGTGGTTAAGAGCACTTGCTCCTCTTGTAGAGGACCCAGGTTTGGTTCTCTGCACCCACATTAGGTGGTTCATAACTGCTGACAACTCCAGGGGATCTGACCCTCTTCTGGCCTCGGGAAATGTGGGCGCGCGCGCGCACTCACACACACACACACACACGCACACACACACACACACACACACACAGTCACACACATATGCAAATGAAAAATAAACTTTCTGAAGTCACGTGACTAGCAGCACCAAGCTCACCATTCTTAAACTGAGCAGAAAGTCCAAACCCAGGTCTAGACCATCCCTCACTGTCCTCGGGTATTGTGACATCAGATAATCATGTGATTGCAGAGATAAATGCCATGACAGAAGAGGACCAGGGCAATTCGATGCAGGCAGGGAGGAGTTCCTGGAGCGGTCACTGAGTCAGGCTGTTTAACACACACTACACTAGTAAACTAGTAAACTAGTGTGCTATCTGAGCTCACTGGGAAACACATACTTCAGACCCAAGCATATTTGTCTTCCAATATCCTCCAAGACTCATTATCCAGGGACAGGCTGCTGCCCAACCCCTAATCCCTGGGGCCTGTGGGTAGGGGGAAAGGGAAGAGCAAAACAGCCCATACTGTGTCCTACAGAACAGGAGAGCAAATTGCCTGAGTGATACCGTGCCCTTGCACATGGCTGGGAGGTCAGTCTTTCCCAGGTACCTTCCTAAAGCCAAAGACTCAACTGCTGTTTATCCCATGATAGAAAGATGCTGTCGGGGGAATGGCTGATGAAAAGTCTCACCTGGGGAAGACATTCTGCCTGGGCCCCTCCTTGTCCATCAGGAGCTCCAGCTGATTATTTCCTGGGCTTCCCTAGTCAAGCTGCTTCATGCTGTAAGCACCTGATCTGGTGCTCTCCTGTCTTCCTGTTGCTTGCTGTTTTATTCTTTAACTCTCGCTGGCTGTATACTTAATAACACACTCATTCAAATCTGAAAACATAAAGTGGAATTCTCCATCTGAGACAGGGTGAATGGGCAAGGGTATGTTATGATGAACTGACAACATCAGCAGATACATGGAGGCCAGAGAGGGAGTCACCTGTCAGTGAGGGAGGTGACAAGACCTGGGGACAGGGACTTGCTTCCCAGGTTACAAACCAGGATGCCAACAAAATCTGACACAGGTCATGAGCTCTTAACACTATTGCAGGACAGGTGGCAAGCCTTTGACTAAGTGGCTCAGAAAGGTTAAGTGCCTGGCTCAGGGTCACACAGCTAGTAGGCTTTCCTGGGACTTTCCAGGCCACATAGTCTTCAGTCTGCCTCGCCACAGAGACAGGAGAGTGAACCACTTGGGTTCTTCTTACTGGTGGCGTCGTGACATTATTGGCAGGCTCCACCTAACAGCCTGTTTTCTGTGAAGACTGGAGGAGACACGTGGTCCAGAGAGTCTCTGCACCTTCCCTCGCTCTTCTCTCCTCCCTCCTTCTTAGCAGGCCAGAAAAGTGACTGTGTGCCACATTAGAAGGTCCTAGAAAATGAAACTCTCTTCACAGCCTTGCCTCAAATCCCCTCTCCCCAGCAGAGTGCCTGTGCCACCTGGAATGGGATTTTCCATTCTTTCTCATGGATGTGGAAGAGCAAAACCTGGGGTTCAAACATTCCCAGCTTCATGATTCAGAAACACCAAGCAAGGAATCTGAGACTTATTCTCTCACTGGGTGGTAGTTACATACTCCCAGGTTTCAAAGTGTGTGTGTGTACGTGTGTTTGTGTGTATGTATGTATGTACATATTGTGTGTGTGTGTATGTGGAGGCCAGATACAAAATATCTTCCTCTATCACCTTTCAGCTTTTAGAAAATATTTTTGGCATTCATTTATCGTGTATGCACGTGTATGTGTATATACATGCACACACAGGTGCCATGGCTCAAGTGTGGAGGTCAGAGGACAACTTGAGGGAGTCGGTTCTCTCCTTCACCACATGGATTTCAGGGATAGAACTCAGGTCACCAGGCTTGGTGGCAAGTATCCTTACCTAGTAAGCTATCTCCCCAGCCCATCACCTTATATTTTTGGATTTTTTTTGAGACAGCCTCTCACTGATTTAGCTAGACTGACTGCCAAGTAAGCCACAGGGATCCTGTCTCCACACCCCCTTAGTGCTGGAATTACAGGCACATGCTGATGTGCCAAATTGGGGTCCTTACGTTTGCCTGGTAAGTACTTTATCAAGTGAACCATCTCTCTACCCCCTTAGGACCTCTTAAGGCCAGTGTCCCATCTGTTCTTGGCCTACTTCTAGTCACACATGTCCTGCCTGGCTGAGCAGCTGTACATCTACAGCATCACCTGTCACCCAGAATGGACTGTTCCTCAGCCTCCAGCTCCCAGTTCTCCTTCAGTTCAGTTCTGCATCTCTCAACTGTGCCCATTGGGTCTTGTGTGTGTGTGTGTGTGTGTGTGTGTGTGTGTGTGTGTATGTATGTGTCCCACAAGCATAACATATGCCCAAACATCCATCTTCTCAAGCCATTTCCCACTTCTGAATTTCTTATCTTTGCAAATAGCACCCCAGCTCTAAGATCTCC